GTTCAGTTTGAATGAGGAGTTAGGATATGTTGAGTATGGGATCAGATGCACAGTAATGATTGCCTCATCATTACTAGCTGAGTTTCTTTATACTGTATATGGATTTCTTTCCTTGCTAGCAACATAATTCCTCAGAAGGTGGGTTTGTTGCACAAGACTGCCAATATGCACAAATAGCAAGATGCTTTGTCTACTAAAGTCTTTCTGCTTAGTGGTGATTCACACATTTTATTGTTCCTTAAGTGTCTGCTTAAATAATGTTTTGCTACAAAAAAGTTTCCAGAATTGTCAGAAAAGTTGTAACAGTCAAGTAGAAAGGCTATTACATAATCCAGAGTTCAGAAACATTGGGGATTGCCATTGTTAAAGTTAAGAGACTAATCAACTAATCCTTCAGTCATTACCAGGGATCCTAGTTTTCTCTGATAAAAAAAAAAAAAAGACCGCCAATTTTTGGTTTTAAAAAGTAATACTACATATAGCAGTGATAGTGGTGTTTTATTTTAATCATGAAAATATGTGGATTTAGGGTTACTTTTTTTAAACCGAAAACTGGGGATTATTATTATTATTTTTAATCGGAGAAAACCAGGATCTCTGGTCATTACCTAGGTAAAAATTTCCAGTAAAGGCAACAGAAAATTACCCTAAGTGGAGACTGGAGGACCTACAGAAATTAGGGAGGAAAGTGACCTACCAATATTATCTCTCATTTTCCATTTCTCTACCAATGTAGTATTATTCTTGCCAGTATATTTCCTAGTGTTTTGTAGTTTCAGCGTCTTAAGTGAATGGTCATCAACCTCTGGCCTGCAGGCCAGATGTAACCCACAAAGATGTCCACTTCAGTTTGCCAAGTTGCAATCTGGCACAGGGGAATCCGTGTCACATAGCTGTGCACGCTGTCCATACCTTCCATAGCACTCTTTTACTGCAGATCCTGTGGCTCCTCAGCATCTGAGCTTAAAGTTGCTGAACAGGGTTCAGATATCTGGCAGCTGGCCATTCTGACTGGGGGAAGGGGAAAAGATTCAAGCTTGCACCTGCCCTGGCAAAATGCTACTTGTCCATGTCTGAAGTGATGGGGTTTCCAGTACTTTCCATCACCCAATGAAGACTTCCACAGCTTAATACATCTCACTAGTTATGTAGCCAAATTCCTCTCTCGATGTAATTCTTCTGTACTCCCATGTTTCAAAAACTGATTCTTAGCCCTTAATGCTGTTTACAACGTTCAAATATTTGTTAACTTGTTATACTCCTGTCTTATCAGCCACTTAACCAAATGGCAGATATTAGGGCTGTGCAAAGCTTCAGTCGCTGATTCGATTCAGAGGAGATTCAGCCCAATTCAGTGGCCAAATCTCAGAATCTGAATTGAATCAGGAGACCCATTAATCTCTCTGAATTGAATAGGAAGCCTCCGAATCGATTTGGAGAGAGTCAACGATTTGGCCATAGACGCAGCTTTATATGTTTTTTTTCTACATACCTCAAGGTACCAGGCATGGCTCATGAACGCTGAGATGGTAGGGTGGATGGAGCATCCCATGGGAGTGTGGGGGGTCTCCTGTGCACTTTGTGGCAGACCTGGAAGTGGACCAGAAGTACTTCCGGTCAACTTCCAGATAAACCACAGAGCACCGGGGGGAGCCCCCCTGCCTCGGTGATGCCTCCTGGGTCTGGGGGGGCACCCGGGGTCCCTCTGCAGCTGATCACCAAGCCTGGGAGGCATGGGGGGTCCGCTGCCAAACATGCAGGCCCCCCCCCCGCCTCCTGTGGGACACTCCATCCACCCCACCATCTCAACATTCACGAGCCGCATCTGGTACCTCAAGGTATGTAGAAAAAACATTTAAAGCTGTGTCTATGGCCAAGTTGGCAATTCTCCGAATCTGAAGATTCAATTCTGATTCAGATTTGGCCGAATTGAATTGGGACAGTGATCCAAATCAGCAAACTGAATCACTGCCCCTCAAATTAGGCTGAATCTGAATCAAATACAGCCCTCTTCGCACACCCCAAGTAGATATTGTGTTCTTTTGATGTTGCCTCATAACCCAGTTCCACATCTCTGATAATTTTTCTTGTTCTGAACTTCCTTTAATTTATAAATATTATACATTGGTCAATATTCCTGCCTCAGGTGCATTAGAATCATAATTGCCTGCTTACAAATGTGAACCCCGCCCAAAAAAACCAGCACTTTACTTTCAGATCGGCATGGCCCATAGCACAGCACATGCCCACAAGAGGCACTGCTTAACCAGTGTCTGTACAGATCCTGTACTTCAGTGAGGTTTTTTGGCACTTTTATCTAATAGCTGACTAAATCAGCTATTAGATAAAGGTGCCAAAAGTCCCACTGAAGCACCCAATCTATACAGACTCTGCAGAGCCAGGTCAAACTACTGTGCTTCCTCTTCCAGTAAAGCACTGGGTTGTGGGGGTTTTTTTCATGTCTGTCAGCACCCATAATGTCCAGTCTAGCATGTATCCACTGAACAAGAAGAAATCTTTACTTATTTGCTTTATGGCATGCCCCTGTGCATCTGAATATCTAAATTTATTATAGACTCCAAACTGATGTCTAATTTGCTGATCACTATCATATCTAAGTGCCTTTCAGCATTTAGACAGACAAAGTTCTTTGGCTAAAGCATTTTAAACATTGATTCCCAAAGGTTCTTAAGCATGCATGAACTTTAAATGGGAGAATGTTTAAAGTTAGGCATGAGCTTAAATACCTTGCTAAACTGTAGTCTTATGCATACTGCTCACCATTCAGTTTACACATTTGTAAATCCCCTAACCCAAATGACCGTATAAATTACAAGTCAAATATAATGTTGTTTTCTGCCCAGGCTCCTAATTTCTCTACCTTTCCCTCAGGTTAGGTCTTTAGGCAGGGTTCAAATTACACATTGACTTTTAGGGAGTGTCTGCAAAAAAAATTAAACCAGTTCATTGGAAGGAACAATCTGATTGGAGACCCCCGCCCTCCCAGGGTTATGATTTTCAAATCTTACAGGGGGGCTCAGCTCATCCCTCTCCCCACCCCTGAAATTCACACCCTGCCTTTAGGTTCAGATCTGCAAATTCTCCTTTACATAGTCATATTGAAATTAATAAGACTTTTAGAGGAGTGAGGTTTTCAGAACCAGGTCTGTAGCTTGCAGTAAGTAATTTTCACTACAGTTTCATTTTACATATGTTAATCAGAATGGGCATTTCTTTATATAAAAGCCAAAGAAGTTAATTATTTGAATATGTATTCAAGAATAAGCCAACTAAAAAGTAAGCAACAAGGCATTATTATTCATACAGTAATTTTAACCTGTAACTAAAAGATGCCATTCTTTCGGTTAATTTATGTACACTATATTGTGTTGCTTTATTTTGTAAAGGATTGTTTATTATTATTTCTTTAATTTATAATATATAATTTCTAACTCTGTATGGTCCTCTAAAGCCTTGAATGTATACATACTAAGTAAAAAAAAACCCACTACCACATGTTGTTAAAAAATCATTTTCCAGGTATAATGCATACCTTAACAATTCCATAACACTAAGTGCCTGTGAGATATATAATCTCTTGATTTATTTGCTTTTAACACTAACAGTAAGTCTAACCACTGTTTAGTCTATGTCTAAAAATCCATTTGAGAAATTTCAATATCAGGGAAATTCAAAATATTGGGGATGAAATAAACTTGACTTTTTTTTGAAGCAGAGGTAGTGCTCAGTTCAGGTTCAAAGTCTTAACTGACTAATTATTAAAAGCCTGATTCTATCATATCTTTTGACCAGCACATATTCCATACCCATGCAAATAGTCACAAATGAGTGAAGCCTCAAAGTGCTATTCACCAGGAATTTTAGAAGTAGCATTAACATTTTATATTTTATCACTTTTGCTAGAAAATATCAAAATACGACAAGGACACTATTCTTACAGTATTTTAAAAGTACACAAAACTGTGGAGTGTTTGTCCTCATGGAACGTGAAGCCAATTTCCAGCTATGTACTCCTCAGAAACTAAGGCCCTTGACAGATGTTCCTTTAAAGCAGCGGTCACCAACCAGTGGATCTCGATCCACCGGTAGATCTTGGAGCCTCTTGGAGTCGGTCCAAGGTTGGGGCAGGGGGCTGGGTGCCCGTGTACACTACAGTGTTAAAATACTCTGTACTAAAAGTAGAATCTTGACTATCGAGAATTTCCTCAACCTCAGAGCTTTCAAGATAAGAGGTCAGAAAACACTGTGATCATAAAAACAAAAAGATTCTGATTTTACTTATCTCTTTGTCTTCCTTACCAAATAGGTTTTGCATTCAGATTGGGTATGTTTGCCAATACTCTTCCTGGAGTTAGGAAATAAAGTAAGTGATATAATGAAGAGTCAACTGCAAAAAGGTTTGCAGATACTTTTTGAGTAAAAGGTTTTAATAAAAAAAAAATACTTGTGAAAGATACAAGATTGACAGCCACAGAAAATGAATTTTTGATCATGTATAAAATACATACAGTAGTAATATGGTAAATTTCCTACCGAATCTTGTCAGAATGGTTCGCCCTTACCCCAGAGGAATGACAGAGTAATTTACTCTGAGCCAAATCCTCAGCTATTGTGAATCAGCAGCAACTCCACTGAGTTCAGTAAAGTTATATTGATTTACACCAGCTGGTCATTTGGCCCCCCCAGTCAGTTATGTGGCTTGTCTGCTGAGAGAGCCAACATCAGTTTTTATTTGGTTTTATTTGGTAGCAACCATTCCACTAAAAACTATATTGATACCATGGCACCCCAGCCCAGCAGGTCAGTCCATGGGGGAAGGAAGGAAGGGGACTAGATCGAAACCCTCACAGTAAGGGACAGTGCTGCAGAAGCAGGAGCAGGGGTAAGTTGAGTGGGACTTACCTGCTGAGGTGTGCCCTCAAATAATTTTTTCTCCCTCTGCCTTGATCTGCCCCCTGCTTCCCTCCCCACAGACTTACCTGCTGAGTGGGGGGGACGGCGTGGTGGCGGCAGCGGTGGCACACAGTAGATCTTGGGTTGCTTTTAAATGCCAAAGGTGATCTACTTAAAAAGGTTAGACAACTGCTTTAAAGGCACCATCAGATCCAATTCCCAATCCTAACAATCACATCTTCTGCCCTGCCACACTAATCCTGTAAGTGCAGGGGGAGCTCTGATCAGCTGACTGGCACACCCCAGTCACAGGAATACACCAGAGCAAAGGTCTTCAGTACACTCCCACAGCTAGAAGCACCAATCAACTGACTGGCACTCCCAGGCCCAGGAGTACACTGGAGTCTTGAAGGGCTCCAGTGCACTTCTGAGGCTGGGAGTGCACCTACCAGATGCTCAATTTAAGGTGCGATGGAACTCAGCTACAAAATTATTACACATTGCTTGAACATGTAGCTAAGCTACCACTTAAGACATGATTGGCCCCTGGCATCTTAAGTTTGCCAGGGGCCTAAGATTTATTAAAAAAAAAAGTCTAAGGAGAGGCATTTCCAAGACATGTACTGCATCCAGATTATAACTCAGTATTGCTGTCAGTCCACTTTCATCTATCCTGGAGGAGGTTAAAATGTGGCCTTGGGCTCCTGACTAGCTGCTGCTCCCTTCATCTCCTGTTGCTGCAGCAGCAGCTGGGATCTTCTTCCCTCCTGAGAAGAAGGCAGGACCAGAGAGCAGGAAAGTGCTGCATGCTCAACAGGGGGACATTTGAGCTAGTTTGCCCATGCTGCACATGTATGTGGCAAGGAGAGAGGCTGCCCTGCTTATGCAGTGGAAGGGAGCTGGGTTGGTTGTGCCTCCTGTGCAGTGATCAGAGCTGGGCTGCTCGCACTGCACTTACGGCCATAGGAAAAGTGATATTATTTTATTTCTGTGATTAAAGCTAGAAAAAAAATCAAAACACTGTTCCTCCATAGTAGCTGGCTATGGTCAAAGGTATTTCAGGAAAGAACTTTGTACTACTGAAATTATCAGCATCTGTGTCACTAGAATTTATAAAGCCACTGACAGTTTCTCATTTTTTTCTTAATTCAACAAGAAACCAAAGTCTGCACACAGAGTGTACTTCAATGGAGTTTTGAAGGACCAACTGACTTGTCCTCCTATAAGACCTGAGACCAAAGCATAAACAAAAGATCAAAGAGTCAAAAGTAAAAGCTTCTGTTGAAAAAACGAACAGCTTTAGCTGGTACAACCTGCAAAGAAAATAAAGCTGTCAACTGCAGTGAATAAAAGTTCTAGCAGCCACCAAACATCATTAAAACAGGAAAGGCTTCTGCAAATTTCCAAAAATCTATTAGTACTGGAAAATAAAACAGCAATTGAGATGCATAGTGACAGATATAGTGAAAAAGCAATGGTCAAAAGACATGCCATATTGCTAGTAATGGTGGATGGCACTCTTGTGGTCCTGCAATTGTCCTCAAACAAAAAGCATCCAGTGAAAAGGATCCATGACAACAAAAAGTACGAGTTCCCAGAAATAAAATTTAACTTGTTTTGGCACAATACCAGTACTGCCTTTCTGTGTTTCATGCACAAGAAGCTACAACTCTTATGTAAGGTCTCATGACCTATGACCTTAAGGGTTAGGCGTGTTAAAAAAAAAGGACTGCACACGTATATGGAAAAAAAATGATCTCAGAATCCATACATTCTTAAACTTCCAGACCAGAAGGAATCACAGTGATCATCTAAAATAACCACCTGTATTATACAGGCCATAAAATTTAACTAATAATCTACAGGTTCTGATTTGTTATAATAGCAAGGATTAAACAATACCAAAGCAAAAAAACTCAACAAAGATCCAGGAATTCTAGAAGGGATGTAAACTTTTATCCTTCAGGTAAACCATCCCATAAACTAATGGGATCAGGAAGAAACACTCCCCATTGGCATGTTATTCTGTAACTTTTTTACCTCCCTTTTAAACAGATGGCATTGGTCACTGCTGGAGACAGAGTCCAGTAGAGGAAAAAGATGAGCCAACAGTCTAATTCAGGGTGGAATTCCTACATGACATCTCATTTATGCTTGGGCTTGGTTTTATCAGTGTTATGATAATCCACACTAACTTCATGAGTCAGGGAAACAAAAAAAAGGACATGATTTGCATATTAAAGCTATTATGAAAAGAGAGTTTTCAGTACCAACAGCCCAACCAAATACTGATCCAAGTTTCTTCCGAATATTAGTAAACTGGGAGCAAGAATTGAAAGGAATAAAAAACCAAATAAGGAAGAAAATATCCTTCTGCTTTGTTGTGGAATTATAACAAGTCCAAAGAGCACCTGCACAGTTATGATTTTGCTAACACTATTGAAAATCATATTGCAAGTAATCAGCGGATGATGGAGTAATAAAACAACCTTACACAAGGTTTTCCAAAAAAGCAACTATATGTTTCCCATAAAATTATTCAATGGGCCTAACTGAAAAGAACCAAAAATTATAGTCCTGGTTTGCCAGTCTCACTGAATAATGGCTTCCTAAGACTATTACCACCTACTGAGCCATGTCATTCCCTGTTAGGAAGACAATTCTTCTCTACTACTGCTGTGCTTCAAAATTATTACTACTTATTGATTGAAATTAAGCATCCTGTCAGGCTATTAGAGATAAATTGTATATTTTATCATTGCAATGGGGATTAACAACCAAATGATTGCACAACACTTTCTAATAGCAGAGAATCTAAGGGCAAGGAAGGGGTTTTTTATTTCTAGCACAGACTGCTGTCAGCATAATGTGCCACAGCTCTGACCAAACATAAACAACCCAGAAGCCTTAACAGCAGGAAAAGATCTGTTTCCAAAGCAGATAATTTCACTCAAATTCACTTTTTCAACTATTGCCATACTTTGTTAGAGAGAAGTTTCTAATAGCCACAGTTTTACAGTTGTTTCCAGAAACTACTCTCTCAGTAGAGCCATAGACTTGGGGGCCATAATTGCCCCAGCTGCTAGATATAGTGTATATGTGATATGAATCCTGCCTCCAAGAGGCCATAGTTTCCTGTCCATCAGTTTCCCGATGCTTTTAGGCTTCTGCTTCCTCCACAATGAATTAAAGATAGGAAATACAACTTTTTAAATAATCTACTTTCCCCTTTCAAACATTTTTTCAGTCACATTGAAACAATAATGAAGATATTGGATCCAGTATAATACAGGAATACCCCACAGATAACTATCAGAATTGTTCTCTGTCCAAACTCTGCTTAACTAGCAAGCAAAAAGAGAGGCCTACAGAATATGCAGAAGCATAGAGTAGCTATAGTTTTACAAACTAGAACCTCTGATTAGCTCTACAAGGCAAACTTTGCTCAGCCTGATTAAAGAATTCCTGCCCTCCCCCCGCAAAAGTAGTCTGCCTTACAGAATCATCTAGTTCTTAGCAATCAATGTATCTTGGTTTTCTGCTGAAAAATCTTTTCACCCAATCTCAGGCTCACTCATCTATCTTCTGTGCAGAAATGTCAGTCATTCTGGGACTTGCACTGATTCCAAGTAAGTGCCAAACTGATAATTAATTGACAGCTCTCCATTTCTCTCCTACACAGGGCAGATGGTATATGTCAAAATATTAAACTTTCAGTTACTTGATTTTTATCCAGCAGGTTTTTTTTTTAAATTCTGAAATGCACCTAGGTCCAGGTAACTCCATTGTGATAGCATCTGAGTATCAGTGCTATTATTTGAAATCAAAGTATCTTCTAAATCCAGGTTCCAGGATGATGGATAAATAGATACATCTAGAGGTTATCAATTGAAATGGAATGAAAGTGACTGAACAAAATTACTATCTAAAAATATGTAAACTGTGTTTCTGGTATCAATATAGTTTTTAGTGGAATGGTTGCTACCAAATAAAACCAAATAAAAACCAATGTTGGCTCTCTCAGCAGGCAAGCCACATAACTGAATGACTGGGGGGGGGGGCAAATGACCAGCTGGTGTAAATCAATAACTTTACTGAACTCAGCGGAGTTACTGCTGAGTCACAATAGCGGAGGATTTGGCTCAGAGTAAGTTACTCTGTCATTCCTCTGGGGTAAGGGTGAGCAGTTCTGACAAGATTTGATCTGAGGCGCTACAGGGATTTGGGAGCGGGGCTAAAGGGTCTGGGGGCACAGGTGGTGTTCTCGTCGATCCTCCCAGTCTCAGGGTATGGGCTGAGGAGGGAGAAGAGGATCCACGTGGTCAACCAAAGACTGCAGTGCTGGTGTCATCGGGAAGGCTTTGGCTTTCATGACCACAGCCCGCTCTTTGGTGAGAGAGGCAGCGAGCTGCTGGGAAGAGATGGCCTCCACCTCTCTCCCCTGGGGAGGAGGCTCTTCTCAGCCAGACTGGCTGACCTGCTCCACCGGGCTTTAAACTAAGCCCACTGGGGGACGGGGGGACTACTGCCACTGCTGACCCACTGAACAACCCTTGCAAAGCCAGCAGGCCAAGGCACTTAAGGGAGCCCACCCCTGCCCCATCCCTGGGACAATCTGTGGGCAAGGCAAGAGCCCTCAGGGGGGCACCCTGCCTGTACACAAATGCCAGGAGCTTGGGGAATAAGCAGGAGGAGCTCATCCTCCTGCTCAATGCAAATAATTATGATGTCATAGGGATAACGGAGACCTGGTGGGACTCCACCCATGACTGGACCACAGGTATAGATGGCTATACCCGGTACAGGAGGGATCGTGTAGATAAAAGGGGCGGGGGTGTAGCTCTCTATGTTAAGGAAAGCTACATGTCCCTGCAAGCCG